GGGCCGGCCGTGTGTGAGTCCAGCAGCCCTAATCACCACGCCATCTGTTGGCCACTAGATAAATAATTCCTTTAAAAAATAATAATAATAATAATAATAATAAAGACTAATGGGTTGCCTCTCTCTGACTCATGGAAGAAAAAAATAAACTTTTAAAAAAGAAAGAACTATAGGTAACCCAAAAGGGAAGACAAATCAATCCAGAGACTAAACTGTAAGTTGAAAAAAGCAACAACATATATGATCAAATTAAACTAGAGAATAGGAGGAATACAACGTTTTGTTCCTAGAACCAGAAGAACTACACAAGGCACAGAGCATGTGCTGGCAGAGAATGAGCGGAAGACAGACTCCTGCAATAAAGGCCTGAGCAAGCCTTAGGCCTCCAGTGTCGGAAAGCTGCCAAGAACTAGTGACAGCTTGGGCTCCCAAAGCAGAAAGGTAGGAGCCAAATAAAGGGTTCTCTTCTACCTCAATTCTTCACTAGCTACCCAATACCTACATATCCTCAGAAAAGAGAAGAGATGGGGGCGGAGGAATAACAGGGAAGAGAGAGAGGAGTAGGGAGAGTCATGGTGGGGAGGCCACGAGGTAGAGGGAAGAGACCACCAGGACAAGAAAGACCCCAGGGGGGAAAAGGGAGACTTGGGCAGGAGTGAGGCCACACAAGGAAGGCAGAGAGAGATAGTATAAAGGCATACGGGTGAGCCAACAGATGTGCCTATCAGAAAAAGAGATGAAAGGAGAGAGAGGAAAAAAAAAGAGAAGACAAGAAAAATGGGACCTTGGTAATGGCAAGAACTAGGGCAGTGGCCAAGAACGACTGGTGGTTTCATTATTGCACTTTCTGAGACTCTCCAAAGAACCTGAGGGTGTCTGGCGTGGAGTGAAGAGAATGATGAGGGGAGTAATTAGGTGTCTTGTCTTCCATCAGTACTGTCAAAGGGGATTAAACTGCTCTCTATGGCCTCCAGCAGCAAAAAAGGAACAGCGGAGAAATGCTGGAGAAAGCGACCACTCTGAACAAGACAGGAGCAGTCAGCGCTGCCTTGGAATGGAATACTTGAAGAGTGAGGAGAAGCTGAGGAGGCCCTGCAGTCACCTGGCATGGATGTCACAGCAGACATTTGCAATCATTTGAAAGGAGAAGGGATCAGAAAACCCCACTCAGCCTGAAATTCTAAGACTCTGCTAAAAATAAATAAGCCATGTTCAAGGAAATAATCTCTTTTATTTCAAGTTGAATCACACTATTAGTTATGCTGTGCTTTCAACATCTCTCCATTTTTCTCTCAACAAAACAATGAGTATTGGAACTGGCAGATAGCAGGTGGTTAAGGGTGCTGAACTCCCACCTGATGGACTGTGGTTTGAGTCCTGGACTGGCAGCTTGCTTTTTTACTTTCTCTCTCTCTGTCCCTCTCTGGTCAAATTAAAAATAAATAAATAAATAAAGTTAAATAAAATAATTCTTAAAAAAATGAGTATCACAAATTTTCCAAATCTCTTTTTCCATATCATACATATATTAAATTTTGCCTCTGGCCAGCTGGTAGCATGGTTGTTAAGACAACTGGATCCCACATAGCCAAATGCACAGTTCAAGTTCCAAACCCAGTGACCTGAAAACATGCCAGGCGCATATGCATGCATGCCTAAAATCCTGAAAGGACAGATGAAGCAGAAAAGACGAAAGGACTGTTGCATGGCCATCCTCCCATGGGAGGTACTTTTTCTCTTTCTCTCTCTTGCTTTCTCTCCCTCCAGGAAGAACACACAACCTTCTAGCAAAAATAAAATTTTTGAGAGGTTTCTGCTATAGGGCACATGCACTTGCCAGAAAGACAGAGAGAGAAAGCAAGAAATCACCCCCCGGGGGGATGGCCACTCTGCAATCCCTTCTCCTCCATTCTCCTCTCAGGATCTTGGGCACACACGCACATGTGCCCGGCATGAGTTTAAGCCACCGGGTCCGGGACTCGAACGACGGTCGACTACATGGGAGTCCAGTGACATAGCCATTATGCCATCTGCTGGTCACCCCTCTAGCAAATTTAAAGGGGGATGACAAAATGTTGCTTCAAGATCTCTGCAATAAAGTCAAATGGAATTCAGACAACTGATTCACTGATATCACCAAAGAACAAGAACCCAACATAATGCCTATTTTTTAAACTTAGCTACTATTTTTTTTTTCCCTTTTTGGGGGCAAAGGAGGCTAGCCAGCTGGTATGTCAGTAGATTGTTTTCAAAAGACTCCTACTTGGGAAAGCAGGCACAAATAAAGACTCCCACTTCCACCTCCAGAAATCTCTATGCTCAACCCAGTCCTGCTTGCGACACTGGCGCCCGTGCTCCAGTACCCGCTGCTGCCGGAACGCTTTGCTTCTTCTCATTGTTGGCACCACAGCGCCCCATCTTCCAGTAAACCACCCCTCCTCTTCAAATCATCTCTCTCCTCCCCCATGGCGAGTTTCCACTGTTAATTAAACTTGGCAGACACTCCTTTCTCTCCGCCCATCTCCCTCCCTGGCTGGGGGAGTGCACTGGCTAACCAACACGTTCTGTTCTTCCTCCCTGTCCCCAAAGTCCTGTCTGGACTCTGAGGCCTGACCCAGGGCAGTGTGACATCTTTATATGTATCTCTGGGCATCATCGCTACCACCACCCAGTCAGCTGGCAGGGCCCCCAGGAGCTGGGGGGGCGGAGTGATTAAAATTGGACAGGATCCAATTTTTACAATGTTCCCAGAGCCTTGAACGTCATTAAGGGGCAAGAAAAAGCTGAAACACGACATTGTCCTAGACATTTGTCTCTGTGGCTATTGTAATCTTGAAGTCCTGTGCGGTCAAAACAGTCAAGAAAAGGCAAAAGGAGTCAGTCACTCTCCTCTGAAGTCACGCAATGTCCTTTCATAGCCAGGAGCTTTCGTGGGCCGAGGGGCGGGTATCGGCGTCATAGATCTCTGGGGTTTCACAAATTCAAATGCTAATAGGTGTTCCATTTCATCTGAACATGCTTCCATACCTTGTGGAGGCCCCTTGCTCTGCCACGGCCAGATCCAAGGGAGGATGGGCAATTTCCCCAGGTTTTGTGAGGGTGCCTCCACCCACCCATCCTGAAACCCTAAACAGCTCTCACAAAATGCTAAGCTGGAAATGGTGTCGAGAACATTC